CTTCTTCTTCTTCTTCTTCTTCTTCTTCTTCTTCTTCTTCTTCTTCTCTCTCTCTCATCTCCTCTCCCCTCCCTTTCTGTCTCTCCCTCCCTCCCTGTGTTTCTCTTTCCCTCCTTCCTTCTCTGTCCCTCTCCTCTCTCTCCTCACCACTCCCCCTCTCTCCCCCTCCTTTTCTTTCCCTCTCCTTTCTCCTCTCCCTTTCCACTCACCCTTTCATTCTCCCCTCCTCTCCTTTTCCCTCTTCTCTTCCTCTCTTTCTGCCCCTCCATATCCTCACTATTTTCTTCTTCAGGCTTAAGAACTTTGTATGGCATAGTTTCATGTCCACTCCCCACCCTGTATGTCCTTTCCTGGACATGTCCCAGCTTGTCAATGTTCCAGTTAAAATTTGGAAAATTCAACTGGACAAGATACTCCAGACAGACTCGGACAAGGAGAGAGTACACTGGTGATCTTATTTATCACTATCTGTACCCTCTCCTTCTGTTGATGCAGCCTTAGGTGGCCTTTGATGTTTTGGTCCCCATAGCACACAGCTGACTCTTACTGAACTTAAACCTACTGAAATTCCTAGGTCTTTTCCATATGGCCTACTTTCTAGTCATGTCTCTCCCCTTACCCCATCTTTACACAAGTTTTTTTTTTTTTTTTTTTTTTTAGCCCAGATGCAGGACTGTATTAATCTCATCTTGCTGGCTTCAATTGACTATTCCCTATGGAGAGGATCTTTTTGGCTCAAGCTTCTGTCAGCCAGTACATCAACTATTTCTCCCATTTTGGGGCCATCCATAAATCAGATAAGTGTTCACTCTATCTATGTTTGTACTCAAATCATGGATAAAAACATTGAATCGAGAAGACCTAAGGATAATAACTACCACTTATATAGCACCTACTACAAGCCAGGTGCTGTGCTAAATGCTTTACAAACATTATCTTGTTTGATTCTCAAAACAACCCTGGGAGGTAAGTGCTATTATAACCCCCATTTTATGGTTGAGCAAATTGAGGCAAATGGGGTTGAGCGACTTGACCAAGGTCACACAACTAAGTATCTGAGTCCAAATTTGAACTCAGGTCTTTCTGACTTTAGAACCAGCACTCTATCCACTGTGACGCTTACTTGCCTCTAAAAATTAAAGACTTTCCTCTGTCTAGTTTGACCTAGATCCATTAAATAGCTCTTTGGATCCATTCAGTCAAGCAATTCTGAATCCAGCTAACTATACTATCATCCTTTCCCACATCTCTTTATCAGTTCCATAAGGATATTCTGAAAGACTGTCAGTTGCCTTGCTAAAATCTAAATACACAATGTCTTCAGTATCCCCGGAATCTACTAATGTAATAATCTTGTCTGAAAAATAAATTGAATTAGTTTGGCATGACTTATTCTCAATGAACCAAGAGTGGTTCATAGTGATGTTTTTTTCCTTTTTTAAATTTTCCAAAATCATCCTTTTAATAATCTTTTCCAGAATTTTACTAGGAATTAATGCCATTCTTCTTGGCCTATAGTTTGAAGTACCCACCTTCTTCCCCCTGCTTTTTTTTGAACTGTGACATTTGTTTGCCTCCAGTCCTGTGCTACTTCTTCCATTATCCACAAAGGTCACTTTCAGTAGTTTGGGCAACTAACTATAGAAGTCATCTTAGTATCCTGGGGTGAAGTTCTTCTGGGCCAGATCATGTGAAGGAAGGGAGATGCTCTTTTACCACTTCCTCATTATACTGGGTTTCAATTCCCTGTTACCTGCCTCTGTTCTGTTCTATACTTCTCAGTTAGAAGGTCATTCTCCTTAGTAGTGAATACAAGCAAAGTAAGAGTTAAGTAGTTCTACCTTCTCCATTATTATCTTCTCTACCTCATTCAGGAGTCCTTTCGGTAACTTCTAAATTGTCCATTTCAAGTATACACACACTATATATATCTATATAGATGTGTCTATATAGATATGTTAATATAGTGTGTGTGTATGTATGTGTTAATTTGAGTCCCAGAACCCATTGGTATGGGACTCTCTCCTCATTGGTAGAGATCAATACTCCACACATGTGTGAGGGATAGAACAGGGTGAAGGGAGAGAGGACAGCATTGGATGCCTTACTTGATGCAATCTCTTTGAGTCTCTTTGAGTGCTTTTGGTTTCCAGTTTTGAGAAAGAGGATGGAGGATGTCAGCCCCACTTCAGGTTGCTGAAGGGAACTTCTTGGAAGAAGCTGATATGAGAAGATTGGCAGTCTCCCTCTTGTCTCTATCTCTAGCTTGGTGTACTAGAGATTTCAGGGAATTTCCCCTTGGGTGAGACCTAAGACTCTGTCTTCATTGAGCTGTTATCTTGCTCCCAATGGGAGAGCTCCTTCATTCTTTATTGTCTGGTATATATTATTCTATGTATATTCTCTCTGATTTCTGTTTTGTTATTGACTTGGATAAATGGATTTCTTTTCTACCTACTGTGTGTGTTTATTTTGGAACTGGTATTTGGTGGGAAGGGAATTAAGCCTTGTATATAAAGCTTAGAGTTCTCCTATTCTCCATTAATGAGCAATGATCAGAAGTTTAACTTGAACCTGAAAATCATATCCCCTAGTCTAACAATATTTAATAAAGCAGATAGATATAATTCTAGACCAGTACCCCTTCTTACTAAGGAGAGCAATGTGGCCAAGCTTCTGACCCCAACCTCCTTCTCCCTCTCCTGGTAGCAATTAAATCTCCCTTAGAGGTGGGGAGGAAGAGGCAAGAGATGTCTATTTTTCCTCCCTTTAAGTCACACAAAGTATCCCCATGCCAAATGCGGGGGATATCCCTTGATAAATATGTATATATAACATATTGTATACACACATGCAATATACATAGATACATAGTATATATGTGTATACATACACATATGTATATATATACACATTCACAGAGCATCTATGTGTGTATGTAGACACATATATGTGTGCATATATATATACACACACAATATACATCTTTGACATTATAAATATGTAAAAAACTTTCAGTCAACAAGCATTTATCAAATACTTTATGAGTTCAAATCCAGCCTCAGACACTTACTAACTGTGTGATCCTGAACAAGTCACTTAATCCTGTTTGCTCAGTTTCCTCATCTGTACAATGACTTGGAGAAGGAAATGGCAAATCACTCCAGTATCTTTGCCAAGAATACCCCAAATGGGATCACAAAGAGTTGCACATGACTGAAATGATTGAGTAACTACCAAAAATGTGCCATACATTGTGCTAAGCATTGTAAACATAGAACATATTTCTTATTTACCTATCTATCTATCTATAGCACTGTAATTCTTCCTTTTGACTGTAAGTCATAATCTAGACTTGGCATTCTTCATTGACTTTATTGACTTTTTTCCTATGTGGATGATTAGGTCAGATTCTTTTTGAGAGGTTATAATCTCTTGCAGGAGGCTCTGCAGTGTTCTGGGGTTCAACCTGAGAAGCACAATGCCATATGAATTCAGGTGCATTCAGAAGACCTCACCCTCTAAAGTGAATCCTTCAATTTGAAAATATTTATGACAGATTTATGAGGCTTTTATATCAGCTACACATCTCTTCGGTGCAGTTTACAAGCCTTTGGCCTTTCTCATTCTTTCTTCCTGTCCCATATTTTCCAACAAATTTTCACTATCTTTCCTTACTCCCACTTTTGCAATGAAGTCACTGAACATGAAAGTATATGTAAGGAACCAGAGTGCAGAATTGGTATCAAGGCCATGAATCGGTCGAAGACACTTAGGCAATGGGAGCAGAGGAGAGGAGGTAGTTTGGTTCATTCAATTCAGCAAACATTTATTAAGTACATATTGTGTCCAAGGCATTGGACTGTGTTTTGAGAATACCCTAACAAAATGTTTCTGCCCTTAAGAAATTTATATTCTACTGGAGAATTACAATACGTGTACACGTAAGTGAATACAAATATAGTCATTGGTACTGCTGACAGGATTAGCTTTATAAAACTTTGGTAAATCATGGAATCTTTTCCTTTCTTATTGTTACCTCTTCTCTTCCCCCATCCCCACCCACTATGGTACATTCCCCAGTAGAAATGCATAGTAAATTTCCTTTAAATCAGTTAAGAGTGTATTATTATTGTTGAGCAGGGGAAGGATGGAGTGAAATGAACTCTTACTGTTCTCCCGTTACAAAGGGTCCAGAGCGTAGGAAATCTCAGAAGACAAAGGAGAGTGACACTGGGGAGCTTGTTGGTAATAATAAGAATAATGATTCAATAGTTTTTGACTCTTTGTGACCTCATTTTGTTGGATTTTCTTGGCAAAGAACTGGTTTGCCATTTCCTTCTACACCTTATTTTACAGCTAAGGAAACTGAGGAAAACAGGGTTAAGTGACTTGCCCAGGGTCACATAGCTAGTAAGTATCTGAGGCCAGATTTGAATTCAGGTCTTCCTGACTCCAGGCCCAGTGCTCTATCCACTGCGCCACCTAGCTGCCCCAAGAATAATGTTAGCTAACATTTATATTGCACTTACTATGTGCTAGGTACTGTGTGAAGCACTTTACAATTATTATCTCATTTGATCCCCACAACAGCCCTGGAAGGTGGGTGCTATTATTATTCTTATTTTACAGTTGAGGAAATTAAGGCAGACAGAGGATAAGTAACTTGCCCAGGGTCACACAGCTAGGAAGTTGCAATAGCATCACAGGGTAGAGGGGGATGGCTGTGCCCCTTCTGCCCTTTCTTTCTCATCTGTTTCATTCTTCTGCCTTCCAGGTTCCTGATCCTCAGGCACTTGGTAGACATTCCCCTTTGTCTCCTTGTAATCTTTGTCTTTTTCATTTTCTCCTTTTAGATTTTTTCTTTCATTCTTCAAGGGAATTTCATTCTCTCTGGTAAGCCAGACAGCCAAGAGTCATTTCTCCAGCCTTTTTACTATTGGCCACCTTCCCTTCAGGAGGCAGAAAAGGTGAGAGATGGGACCGGTTTACACCTGGGACTTATCTGGAAAACCAGGTGGAAGGGATTAGTTTTATGTGCCCCATCTTTAAAAACTGATGGGAGGGAGGGAGGGAGGGGTGCTCAGATCACTGAGCGTGCCAAATTGTGAGATGGTGTGTGTGTGTGTGTGTGTGTGTGCACGCGCGCACGCGCGCATACACACATTTGTGCCATTAACCTACTGGTGAGCTTCACTTTTCAATCAAGAAATAGGGGGACTTATGGGTGTCAGGGAGAAGTATGGGTACATATTTGGTATCCACAGAGTCTAGAACAAACACCTACCTAGAATTTCTGGTGCTTACCCCACTTTGGTAGGCTGCCATGTCTGGGAGAGGCTGGTTCTCTTTTTCTTGATTGATTTCGTATTTTTATTTATTTATTCATTTATTTTGGTGAGGGATGTGGAGGCGGGGTCTGGATCTATGATTTTATTTTTGTAGACAACTCCTTGTGTGTAAACTGCCCTTCCTCAATGCAGTTGGGTAAGTCAACTGTAAATTATAGATTTACAGCATGGACTGTGGGCACTGAAAATTGCAGTGGTCTGGTTGGTCCCACAGGTAGTGTCTGTTAGAGGCAGGACTCCTTGATGCTTCAGGTAAGCCCTCTGTCCTTTATGCCAACCTGCCTCTTTGGCATCCTTTGTGGAGCTCCTGGTAGGAGCTCTTGTTTTCCTGACTCCAGAATGACTGCCCCGCCTTCTGTATTGTGGTAGCAGGAAGGAGGAGGGTCCAGTATGTTTGTGTGGGAAGCAACTGTGGAATGTTTCTTTTGCTAGAGAATCCAAAAGGAGACTAGGAGGTCGCTGTGGTAGTATCTTTGGTAATGAAGATGTATTTAGTGTCTGACATTTTATTTGCACAGTTTAATCCAGTTGTACATGAGTCTCTCCAATGAGACAGGAAATTGCTATTGGGCATAATATAAGGTGACTTTTCATTGTCTTTTGGACTTTAAATTATATTCCCAACTACATAGTAGATTGCAGGGCATGCCCATGCAATCAATATTCCTTATGTGTAAATCCTTAATTCTAAAAGAAAAAGTATAGCTTGAAAGAACATAATAATAATAATAATAATAGTAAAAGTTAGCATTTATATAACAACTACTATGTGCCAGCCACAGCAGTGCTAAGTGCTTTAGAATGATCTCATTTGATAATCACAACAGCATTGAGAAGTAGGTATCATTATTATCCCCATTTTGCAGCTGAGGAAACTGAAGCAAGCAGAGATTAAGTGACTTGCCCAGGATCATAAGTGTTTGAGGCAGCATTTGAACTCAGGTCTTCCTGACTCCAGTCTCAGCTCTCTATGCACTGCCCCTTCTAGTTGTCTCTGAGTTTTGGGCTTTTTGAGTTTGGTTGGCACCAGTAGGATGCCAATTCAATGTTTTACACATACATCTATGTGATGTACCAGTATTAAAGATTGAGTGGTAAGGAAGCATGGTACAGAGAATTTTAAACTTGGAGTCAGGAAGATCTGAGTTCCAGTTCTGTATCACATATTTGTTAGCTCTCTGACCATGAGCACATCTCTCTGAACTTCAGTCAACTCTATCGTATGAGATGAGAAGTTATATGTGGGATACAATCTGTAATAGAGGGAGGTCTACAAACTTAAAATTTTTTTTGCATCACTTTCATTAACATCATCATTGTCCTTATCATTATCCTCATCCTTGTCATCCCAATTCAGTTTAATTAAACAAACATTTATCAAGTGCCTACTATGGAGATACAAAGACAAAAATGAAATAGTCTCTGCCTTCAGAAGCTTACATTCTACTGTGAATGATGGTGGGTGAACATAACCTGGACATAGATTAGTAGGTGACATACAGTACTGGGGTTTAGGTCTCCAGGGATGTGGATGGTAGTAGGGTCACCAAACTCCTGTATAGACATTCAGTGTAACAAACCCTTACCATCAGTATTGATGGAAAGATTATAATAACAAAACTAGCTGCTTGTTTGAATCCCTTTTTCCCTAATAAGGAGCTAGGTCCTTTGGTTTTGAAGTAGAAACTGAAGCAGGCTATATAGAAAGAAAGCTTCATCAACCAAAGAAGCAATGGAAACAGGACAGAAATCTAGTCAGTCTATTACTGTTTGACCAAGAGACTTTCTTCTTTAGAGCTTGCCTCATTTAGGAAGTCCAAGATTAAATTCAAATTTTAAGGCCCTGTTTGTGGGAATGACCTGCTGTGGAAATAGTTTACTTAGATTTTAGTAGAACTTTTGATAAAATATTTCATACCTTTCTTGTAGAGAAGATGGAGAGTTATGGATTAGATTATAATATAATCTAATTAACCAATTGTATGGCTGAGTTAAAAAAAAAGATTAATTGATAATGTATCAATGTCAGTATGGCAGGAGTCTCCAGGGGAATGAATACCTGAGAGATCTCTGCTTGGCTCTGTGTTATTTAACATTTTTTTCAATGACTTGAATAAAGGCATAGATACAATACTCATCAAATTTGTTAATTACAGAAAGCTGCAAGGAATAGTTAACACACTGGATCACAGGAACCAAAAGGATCTTGATGGGCTAGATCAGTGGTGTCAAATTCAAATAGACACAGGGGCCACTAAATGATACATAAGGATCCCTGCAAGCTATATATTGACTTAGAAAGTCACATATTAACATTATTTACATTCTATTGTATTTTGTTATTTTTGTTAATATTTTGTTATTTTGTTAAATATTTTATTTTGTTAAATATTTTTCAATTACATCAAGCAATGGCTTTGACACCTCTGGGTTACATCACTAGGCAAAATCTAATAAGATGAAATTCATTAGGGATAAATATAAAGTCATGCACTTGGGTTTAAAAAATTCAGAAGTATGAGATAGGGAAGACATGGTTGGACATTCATTATTATGAAAAAGATTTGAGGGTTTTGGTGGATCATAAGCTCCATATACATCATCAGTGTGATGTAGCAGACAGAAAAGTTAGGCTGCATTAAGAGAGGCTGAGCTTGTAGGAATAGGGAGTTGGTAGCCCCACTGTTCTCTATCCTCATCAGATCTTATCTTGGGTACTGTGTTCAGTTCTCAACTCCATGGCCTAAGAGACACTGAAAAGCTGCAGAGTGTCCAAAGACGACCAGGATGGGAGTGATCTTGAGTTAAGGTCATATCAAGATTGGATTAATTGAACAAACTACAGATGTTATCTTGGAAGCAGGGTTGGAGGTGGGTTAGGACATATAAATTTGTCTTCAAGTATTTGAAGGGCTGTCATGTGTAGGATTAGGCTGGTTCTGTCTGGCCTCAGAGGTCAGAACCAGGAACAATGGCAGGAGGCACAGAAGAGGCAAAATTAAGCTTAAATCAAGGAAAACTTCTTAACAATTAAATTTTGACCCAAATCTTCAAGCAGAGGCTAGATTTATCAGGTATGCTATAGCGGGGATACCCTTCATTTATAGGTTGGACTAGGTAGATGTGACTGCTGAGGTCCCTTCCAACACTCAAACTCTAACTGTCCAAAAGATCACACCTCGGAAAACCAGGTCTTCAATTGCTTCCAACATGCTTTACCTCCAGAAATTGCCTCGAATTTGTTTTGTATTCACTTTTATATTTACCCATTGTCTCCCCCAATAGAATGTAAGCTCCTTGAGGGCAGGAACAGTCTCACTTTTGCATTTGGATCCCCACTGCTCAGCACAGGACCCGACACCTAGTAGGCACATTCATTATATTGATGGGTTCCACTAGAGATTGAGCCCACTTCCAAAGCAGGACCACAGGATGCTGGTAGAAGGCTTCAGGAGATAGTCTTTAAAAACATCTTGCTCCTAGATGGAACAATGGAGTAACATTACTTGTTATGACTGTGAACCGGTGTAGTCCTTCTGCTTCATGCATCAACAACCATGCTGCCCTTTCATGGCAAAGTATTCCTTATTGTTAGAGATGCAACAGAAGACAGAAGCAGTTTCTTTCCACCTCCCCTCTGCCTCAACCTCCCCCTCTCCATGTTTTGAGATTACAGGGAGGGCAGGGGAAGTAAAAGTTCTTTTACTTCCACAAGGACCCAGTCTTTTCAGTTGCTTCTACTGGAGACTAGATTTCAACTTTCATAGTCTTTCCTGCCCTTGCACAAGGATATAGGACCTGAAATGAGTCTGGTCTTGTGCTTGTGAAATAAGACAATCACAGGAAGACTTGTATTGTTTGTGCTACATCTATATCACAGAAATTCTCAACTGAGCAGTCAGAAGCCTTAGTTTGGTAAGTCTAAGAGCCTAATTAGTCACATATCTACTTCTGGCATATGTGCTGTCATTCAGGTTTAAAGATTCTATCAGTCTGCTTTGTTTAAGAATTGATTTCTAATAATACTATTGATCAATAAGAAATAAACCAAGAAACATAGAGAAGTGGAAGTAGTAGTAGTAGCAGCAGTAGTAATAGTAGTAGTACTAATAGCAGCAGCAGCAGCAGTAGTAACAGTAGTAATAGTAGAAGTAGTAACAGTAATAGCAGTAACAGCAATAGCAGCAGCATCAGCAGTAGTAGTAATAGTAGTAGTAGTAGCAATAGCAGTAGTAGCAGTAGCAGTAGTAGCAGTAGCAGTAGTAGCAGCAGCAACAACAGTAGCAGTAGTAGTAACAGTAGTAGTAGTAGCAGTAGCAGTAGCAGCAGCAGCAATAGCAGTAGTAGTGACAGTAGTAGTAGTAGTAGTAGCAATAGCAGTAGTAGCAGTAGCAGTAGTAGCAGTAGCAGTAGTAGTAGCAGCAACAACAGTAGCAGTAGTAGTAACAGTAGTAGTAGTAGCAGTAGCAGTAGCAGCAGCAGCAATAGCAGTAGTAGTAACAGTAGTAGTAGTAGTAGTAGTAGCAGCAGCAGCAGCATAGTAGTAGTAGTAGTAGTAGTAGTAGTAGTAGTAGTTGTTGTTGTTGTTGTTGTTATTGGGGTAATGGTGTCTGGACCTG